ATTCTGATCGGATTTTCTCTACTGTTCCGTTTTAATTTTAAATAGTTTTGCATTATGTGGCCGTTTGCTGTTTTATGGGTTTTTCCCATTTGCCTTTTAAAATTTATATATATATATATATATATATAAATCATTCATCATCATCCATCATATCAAGATCTATAACAAATCTAATGAGATAATAAAAATAACTTTGGTGATCCCATGAAAAAATCAAACTATTTATTAGATATGAACAGTAAGACATCATGGGGAAACAAGAAATGTACTGGAAATTGAATTGAATTAATATAATATAATAATAAACAAATATTTACAAGGTGCCAATTCAAAGGCACACTTTACCCTTAGAGTTTGTTAATTAAAAAATGTTTTAAAACTTACTTTAAATAAGAGCATAGAATGAAAGGCATGTGGCAAATAATTTTTGTTTTTAGTATTTGGGATGGTAAGCAGATTGCAGAGACAATGATATGGAACCTAAGGAGGGACACGTTTAACAAGATATGATAAGGGGCTAATATGACTATTGATATCATTCATCTCATCTACCTCATTCGCCATTGAGACATGTATACTTGATAAATCATATTACAAGATCCAAGCTAAACAGTATCAAGTAGTTTTGTCCTAATAATATTTTACCTGTGTTACTGTATTTTTCACTCATTCAATTGGTTGACACTATGTTTAAAGCTACACCATCTGTAATTAGCTACAGTATAAGAAAAATGGAAAATAAAAATTTAAATTGACTTCTTTGTCTGAAGTTGCATGTTTTTCCATAAGCATGTGTTTTTCCACAAACGCACATGTTAAACCTTAGCAACAACATCCATGGGCAGGGCTAATTTGGCTCTGCCCACATACCTGTAATTTGCCTATACTATTATGGACGTGATTATGACATCATCTACCCATATGAAAAATATGGAAATGCTCAACATTGTTCATACAGAGCTCAACAGAATATTAGAAAACACTCTTTTTCTAATAGAATCATTAATACCTGGAATAGATTAAATCATATTACAGTGCAAGCTGATACTATCGATTCATTTAAGGGTCTGCTAAATGATGACAGAGCAATGTCCAACAAATTCAGCTAACAATTTTAAAGAAAAGAATAGAATGGAGGGCATTTAAAAGTCTATGGCCTTATCGAGATCTGAAAGGTTCAAGTGAGATTCATGTACAACACTGCAAACAAGAGATCAAGGTATGCTACAACTTAATAAAAAAAAAAGTAGCTTTTATTATTGCCATGGGAGCGTAAAGTAGTGAATCGAACAAGACGCTACATGCTTTACATATGAAATGTCATCTTTACAATTTTAGATGCTGGAGAATGGAGCAGTGGCATTGGTTCTTCCAGTCTTCTTTTTGTCCCTTCGGTTATTTCTCAGTTTTAAATTTTTGTTCTTTCAAGACTTTGCATTTCAAGCACAGAGAGACTGTTGTCCATAATATGCGTTATACAAATAAACACCCATTACCATTAAATGCCAAAAAAAATATTCTTTTAGGATTACTTTATTAAAATATATAAAATGTTCTAATCTCCAAGTCTCAACCATTTGCTTTAAAAAAACATGCTTTGCACAAAGCTGTTCCTTTAAGCTGTCACCATGTTCTAAATCCCAAATATTTTTGGTGGCAACAGACTTAACAAACTGGAGCAAAGCACAAACCATTACCATTTGCCATTCTATATCCTTCTGTCTATAGATTCCATATGGTTCTGTTAAAAGGTTTCATTTCTTTGGTATGTCAGCCCTTGGTGCAAAAGGATCACTCCACACTCGCATGCCTATGAGAAATTAAAATAGTACATAGTTATTCGTGCACACTCGTATTAGTATGCATTGTGGTAAATTCTTGAAATCATTGAGAAGGAGCAACTTAACAGTGGCAGATCCAAGGGGGCCCCATAAATTTATAAAAATTATGTGAAATGTGGAGAAAAAAATTAAAAATTATATTCAAATTTAATTCTGAGAGTGCCATTTCTGGCGATATAGAGGCGCCATAATTATAATGGTCTTACCTCAGCCCCATCTTGGTGGGCTGAAGTGATCTATATCCTCCACCTGTGAAAGTCCTGGATCTGCCACTGAAACAGTATTATGTATCTTTGTAAGATCATGGAGGAAATAATAATTTTTCTTAATATATTTTCTTAATATATTTCCCCCATGGTAAAATAAATTAGTAGCTAACTTTAATATTTCCTCCATGCTTTAATTAAATTAAAAAACGAATAAATATAATATATAAGATATTTATATTATAAGCTATTTAATATTGCTTATTGCTTGTCATCTATTTAGTTCAACAATGTAATTTTTAAATTTCATTCAAAATAAAATTCCTTGTCATAATTTTTAACAAGAATCAAATCAATTCTTAAATACAAAATACGAAGAACTTTATTGCAATCTCTCATTCAAAATTGAAGTTTAACAAAAGGGGAGAAAAAACATTAAGAATGCACTTGTGTTACCAGGGTTTTGAAACTGGCAGAAGCCACTTCCGGAAGATTTAGCTAGGCTAATTATATTTTGCTGTCCATAGATATGCACATCCCCAGTGAGATGATTACAGTAATAAAAACAACAAATATCATGTCTTTGTGGGAGATGTTTGTCTGCGGTAGTGCAGGAGGATCCCTGGTTACCAGTGGCATGGTGAATTATCTTACCTCCTGGTTGTATATCTTCTTGATTTATATCTTTTCTTGCTTCTTTCTGTGTGTTTTCTATATATTTACAGAAATATGTAAAATGTAATTGTTTACATTGACAAGTAGAAGTGTTTGGAATAGTGATAAGGTAATCTGGATTGAATTGAATTTATTTGGTGTAAACAACAAGAAGACTTATTTCCAGTGGGGTATTTCTGTTGGTAGTACAGCAGGAGACATGCCCCTACTCTTTTTCGAAGAGTGTAGTGTNNNGTGTGTGTGGGGGTTATGGGGGGGGGGGGTTTCAAGGGGTTCGGACGGACACCCCTCTGTGAAGAAATGTAACAGAATACAACTGGGTCCTGGCCAAGAAAAGGCATACTAACCTACCTGGCATAGGTTGGAATATCAGACAAACTAGGCTTAGCCCAACTAGTTTTCAATTAAATAATTTATACACACTGTTTTTGGTTCGCCGTCGTAATAATTTATGTACGAAAGTGCGTTCTTCAGGCCTATCGGTTCATCGATCCATGTTGTTGGAATACAATAATATATTGCCTGTCTTTAATTTTTTTCCGCTATGATAGGCTTAAAGAATGAGATAAAATTACCTGACCTTTTTTCAAGAGGGGGAGGGGAGAAACCTTGAATTTTGAAGAACATAAAGGTCATTTAAAGACTAGTCAGAAGTCGGGAAAGCTTATTTCCAGCCATCTAGGAACCAAAATTTTCCCGTACCCCCCTTTCATTTTGGCTTTTTTTTTAAAAAACATTTTGAACCCCCTCTTTTAAATCCTGGATCCACCCCAGACCAGGGAACAATTATAACTCTCCACGGTTCCGGTCGCACACCAGTTTAGCCAACTGAGGTAAGCTTCTCTCTGTATCTGGCTTTAACTTTACAGTCATACGTTCATGTTTAGTGTTAATCCTGTATGTCCTGATCTTATATTCTTCTGTTTGGCTAACCACTAACAATTTTCATAACAAAAAGTCTGTAGTATTTAAAGCAGTAATTAGGCTACTCAATGTCATACTGTATTGGTCCAGCAACGTTGGTCCAGAAAAAATGTTGTTCTTAATTATTTAATTAACTAGATACTTACGCCAGGGCTTTGGGTTAAAATATGGTTGAATTATTATAGGATACAGAGCAACTCCAACTAGGCCAACAAAACAACTGATGATGATTCCATTCCTGTTGCGGAACCCAGATCTTGGCAGCTGAACCATGATTTTCCTGTAGATGAAAAATTCACAACAACTATCAAATACCCAAACAATCATGGCCAACTAGGAGGAGATACAAAATAATGCGTTTTAATGGTTGCAAACCAATGTGTTTTTGTTATAACTTGCCTTTCAATTCATACAACAACCACTAGATCTAAATCATCTTTTTATCCTTCTGCCATTAGGGCACTCGATGATGGTTTGTAGGTTTATTTTAGATCATGTTTTTCTATCTCACTTTTCTCACTAGCTTTGCATGAGCCAACTCAATTTCACTGTATTTCATTATGTTAAATAATGAAATAAAATACTGAATGAATACTGATGACCTAGCTACTACAACAGGTCTAAAGCACAGGTGGCCAAAGTGCGGTCTGCGGTGTTATATCAAAAAATTCACATTGGCCCTCCGACCCATTTTTATGCCAGTCGTGCGCAATTTCAGATTTTTGTACAATTTGAAAATTAGTGCAAGCTCTTCCTTGCACAATTTGCAAACTTTGCAAGGATATCTTGCAGAAATTGAAAACTGTGCAACGATTTCTTTGCACCCTTGCACAGTTCCGAATTTGCAAAATGGGCTAAGAGATTGTTGCAAAGTATTAAAATGTGCAGAAAATTTTGCAATACTGTACAGTTATTTTTAATTGCGCGGAGGATATTCAAATTTGGGCGAAAAATCACCAAGAAAACAGGTGCACGGATTCATATTATTGCCGCATAATTACATTGGTCATACTGTATATTAAATAAGATTTACTCAAAGTCTAATTTTCGCAAAAATCTGCACGGAAATCTGTCCTTATTTTATACAAAATGCGAGGACAGAATTCTCTAGGCCAAATTTTTGGCCTGAGTGAGGACATATTCTCAGCACAGGTCTTTTAGGCCCACTAACATTATGGTTCAGCAGAAGCTCGCCCACCAGTGAGTCTATAGATAGACCACATGAGACTCACGGATAATTTATCACTTGCCAGTTTTACTCCAGCCTTGAGCTAGGCATGGTAACTTACCTTACTTAATCTCAACTCCAACTCCACACTCCAGTCTTATGTTATTGTTAAGGTAAAGGTTAGGATGGAGTACTAAAGTGCATTAGCGCCCGACCTAGCTACTGTAGACTAGGCCAGCACAGCTACGTAGGCCTCCTAGGCCTAGCCCTAAATACTGAACAGGGCTCAGGGAGGCCCTATTACTTAGGCCTAGCTAGCCTACGCCTTAGCTAAAGCCAAAGCTAGTCCTACTCCTATCTAGTAGTAGGCCTAGGCCTAGGCCTAGAAAAAGGCTAGGCCGAAATGATCGGCTACCAATAATATAGCTAGGCTACAGCTATTAGCGTATGCCCTACAGGCTATTGCATAGCAGGCCTAGTAGTAGACATATAAGAAGTAATAACACTACTTACTTTCTTTACAAAATATTGATCTTTATTCACCTTTAAACACGTGAACCATGATTATGATTATAAGATCACACGCACAACTACAAAAACAAACAACGAGAAAGTCTGTCCAATGGCCGAGAGAGGGCGCTATACCTTTTAATTTAAAAACACTTTTTTCGGTTTTCCATAAGATACAAGATCCTCAACGGTGAATGTGGGTCTGTCATTGTTATTGTGCTCAAGTGACGGTTCACATGAAATTCCAGGTTCCAATTCTTTAAATATTTTTACTTAAATACACATAAAATACAATATGTAGGCCTACAGGTTACCGACTTATGGTTAAGAAAAAAAGGTATACCAACAATTGCACACAGCGATTAATTGCTTTTTAATTCTTGCTTCCCTCAGATCGTTCACTATAATACCTACATGCTCAGATTTGCAGTTTTTCCGAAATTTCAGTTTTGGTTATTTTTTTGTTTTATGTACTATATGTACCAATTGAATCGTTATTTCTACAAAAAGCTATATAAAGAATTAATGAATGAGTAAAGAAACTGGCATACAAAGTAGGGTAAACAGTATTTTCAATTAGGCCTATTGTCGGAGCAGTTGCTGAATTAATTTCTTGATCGAAGTTTTGTTATTCTCAGAAACTTTGGAATCTTCTAAAGCTGCTCTCACACATTAGTATACCAGAGCTCCGATTTTACTAGTAATCACTTGAATTGGAACATATAGAGGAAATAGAGAAAGAACAAATGGTCTTCTTTTAGACACCCTGTAGATGTGCCTACAAAATAAAGAGAGAAACCCATATTTTTTCCCATCGTAAGAACTAAAGGATAATATATCCCAGACTATCACTAATAAAACTACGAAATTATTTGGACATTTTGCTGTGAAAAGTCTTCATTTTTAAATTCAACATGCCTATAAAACGAGAGACAATTGATAATTTTACAACCAAATGTCAAACTCATAGTTTTGGCTTTGTGACAGCGTAATACATTGTCATTAACATTAAAAATAGAGGTCTTTGTTTTCTCTTTTCTTTCTTCAGTTTTTGTTTTAAAAATTATTTACCCCACCACCCACCACCACCACAATGATAACAACACTATAAAAATATTATAGGCCTATTGCATAGAAAGTATCCAAGTTATTACCAAGACATAACTTGTTACACTAGAGTAATTTGGTACAGTAAACAGTGTCAAATTATTTTCAATTGAGTAAATCATGTTGATTCTTGCATAGTATGTAATTCAAAAATTAATAGGCCTAATGAATCAATTGTATGAAATAAAATTGAAAGTTATGTAGACTACAGGCCTATATTGTAGAATGGTATACTTTATTTCTTTAGTCAAGTCTAAAAGCTAGGTTCCAGAAGAAAAAAATTCTAAAATCCAAAAAGCGTGCTGACGAAAAGCTTGGATCGGTTACCGAGATAGATTTTTTAATATTTAAAAAATGGTGGGGAAGTTTGTATATCTAGGCCTAATCTGTGTCTCACTTCCAACGGCAACAACAGGTACCTACCGGTATTAGGTTTTAAATAGATTACGGCCTCTTGAAAATCATGTGACCAGTCAGATGGAATCCTTCAGTTTACAGGTAATGTTCACAAATTGTTAGAATATGTACTAGGTACAGTATGCATATTAGTCTATTGTATCCATGTGTTCAATAAATGAAGCAAAAGGCATTACATTCAATTCAAATTTTATTTCCTTCAAGATGCCACCAAATTACCATTACAAATACTACAAAATTCCACCAAAATACAAATATATTGTAAAATACAATAAAAGAGCAGTGTTACAGTAAAATTATATTCACATATACAGTATTCGCTAAAACTACCACACAATATTACCTAAAATTTACAATCATTTACGAAATCATTACATGATTGTCCAAATGTAGGAATGCATATTCTCTGTGTATTAGTGAAGTAATAGATGATATTATCTATTGTTTGTACATCTGTTCATACGAACATTAATGCAGCTTTGAAACGAAAAAAAAAAATATTATATTGAAACTATAGCTTCTTTGATTTCAATTTTACTACAACTGTAGGCCTACTTTATTAGACAGAGCAATTCCACCACAATCACATAACCTTCCTTTGTCACTAAATAATATGTGATTATTTCATTAGATAATGGTATATATCATTTAGGCTGAGCCTAACAGTTCAACTGCCATCTTCGGTGTAACAATGATTACAAGCACTAGGAGTATTTATAGGATTGAACAAATGCAATGAAATGTCATGGTAAATAAGCGAACTTAAGTATATGAAAAAATGCATGAATAAAGATGAAGAAATAGACCAAATGGTAGGCAGAGCATTCATGTTCAAAGGAATTGAACAATGTCGGAGAAGAAATGTATGAATAATGATGAACAAAAGATTCAGAATGACATAATTTAAATTTACATTCTGTAATTGCCTATTAAGTGAGGGCTGCTCCCACTGTATATGGAGTGCCTCTTTGATTTTCCGTTGATAAGGGTATCAGCAAAAACTATTATTATGAAGCAGCCTTCGTTACAAACATCCTTATATTTATGGGAACTATTTAAGTGTTTTAAGATATGCAAATTTTTGCCCATTTTAAAAATTTTGTTAAGAGCAGTAATGAAAATGTTTAGTTCCTAGCTGTTAAGCAACAGGAACCTTTTCAATGACCTTTGGCCTTTGCGTGTGCGACCGTACGTCTGTGATGCTGTCGTCATCAAATCCATCATATATTAAAGCAATACAAAAGAATTTATTATTACCCCCCCCCCCCCCACTCTTTCCAGACAGGAATATCTAGCATCAATGGAACAGTGCATTAATAAGTGCCTATTTTGATTGGACTCAAGGGAATGTACCAAAAATATAACAACTATCACTTTCTAATACATATCATTAAAAATTCCTTAATGTTTCTATCTGAATTAAGAATTAAAAAATATATATACATATGAGCTCTATTTAAAGAAAACTCTTGGGTCTGTTTCGTTTGTATCCTTATGTGTTTCTATTTACATCATTACAAACAGTAGCAGCGCCAAAGTCTGCAATCTGGGGAGGGCAAATGAGGGGGAAAGGTGAAATTTTAGGGTGAAATATGCTGGGGTGGCCCGAAATGGGCATGGATGATCGTCGCTCAAAATGTCTTGAAAGTGGTGCAGTGGTCAATATTGAAAAATATGACAATTTAGGGGTTTCAGAGGCTTATTTAATTGATTTTATAGATAAATAGTCTACTAATAATACTAATAGAAAATATAGACCTATATCATTATTTTTCTCCCTGACAAATTTTGGTTTTTCTTCTTTTTAGGGTGAAAAAATTGGGGGGGGGGTGGGGTTGGGGTTCAAATGAAAATTATCTAAGGGAAAGTGCCCTCCTTGCTGGTTGGTGCAGCCACTGATTACAAATAGAGTAATATTTTACCAGAATAGCTGCATAGAAGCCCGGCCCTCACCTGGATATATTTATGTCACTCCCACAATGCATTGTAAAATATATACACTATATACATCTCTCTAGGGAACATACCACAAATGCAAAAACAATTACTTTATATTATCTGACAATAAAAAGTCCCAAACATTTTTATCTGAATTAAGAATAAAAAACGTATATACATTTGAGCTCTATTTAAGCAAAAGTCCTGGATCTGTTTAGTTTGTTTTCTTAATTCTATTTAATACATCATAGGAACTCTCGCAAAGGTCTGGTTATATTTTAAATTTCACTCCTATACTACAAAATGCATTGTCAACTATTTAGATATACATATTCAGATAGATCTTCCGAGATACATTTTCAATGTCACCTGAGTGTGTAGACCTATATGGAATGTTATAATCATAATATGTACACGTGTATGTACATGAGAAAGTCATGGATCTGTATCGTTTGTATCCTCATTTCTATTTAATACATCATTACAAATAGTGTAATATTTAAGCAGAGGTCTAGTTACATTTATGTCACTCCTATACTACACAATGCATTGTAAAATATTTACATATATACATATTTAAATTAATCTCCCGAGTTACACTTTCAATGTCACCTGAGTGTGTAGACCTACATCACTTGTAAATTTCATGGAATGTTATAATCATAATATGTATGATGCCATTACTCAGTGATCAATATCAATGTGATGCACATTGAAAAACAACCATACGCCACTAAAAAAAAAAAGCAAAAAGGGCGACTATATATAGAACATAATTTGCAAAGGTGAATCCAGAATTTTTCAAACTGGGGACCCTCCATACTGGATCCATCCCTTTATTGATACGGTATTCTTCAAATTTTTGGGCTTATGCAACAATGTATATGACCAATGGATGACTGTCCAAGTGTATTCATAATAATACATGCCTTCATGATGGAAAATAATAATGACTCTCAAAGACTCTTACCACTAAGTAAAAAAAAAACAAAACACATGACCAATTATTATATTAACAAAATATTTGATGCTATATATGTAATATCAGTATTAAACCTTTATTTTGCTACCTGTCCACAATTTTGATTTACTACCTTAAAAAATAGCCAAATCAATGCAGATTAATTTACAAATTCCTTCAAACAACACTTCTATAATTCTACAATTTGATTATGTACATCTTCTGTTTCCAATACCATTCCTATCCTATCTAACTACAGTATATTTCTTATTGTTGCTCTACCAAAATTAAGACTTTCTCAGTTCAAAATCATCGAATCACATAAAATTACAGGTCTCCTCCTACTTTAATTAAAGACAACCTCTAATTAGAAACCACCTTTCTGCATTGATTTCCTATCTTTTTATAATACAATAATCATTTTTCTAATTAGAGACCAAACACCAGGAAAACTGATTGAACAGTGGCGGACCGTCAAGGCAAGCAAGGTATGCAGTGCATACCCTGTCTAAAACAAATTAAAAAAAAAATATAGTAGCACAGTTTTCCCATTTTATTTAGCATTTCTTAGTCAGAATCTTCTATATAAACCTTAATTTTTCGAGTGGATTGCTACAGTTCATTGGAATAGCAAAGTTTTTCAATATTCTAGATATCCTTTGGTATCTAGGATAAGTCACAGTCGGACCTATCGCATTGTACTCTTAGTTGCTTAGAATTTCCACATGGCTGATTTTTTTTAATGAGGCAATCATGTATTCAGTGAGTCAATGGGTGTCAGAGCATACACTACAACGCCTAAATTTGCTACTGTGACAACCATGTGGTGGCGTCAGAACAGCCAATTTAACACTGGAATGGAAGTGGTGCTTCTAAGAGTACGTGCGCATGCTCTTCTTTGCACAAATCGGGACCTCCACTGCCTATCGGGTATTCTATCTATAGGCCTAATCTCAATGAATAAAGTTTAAATAAATTTGCAATACATATGACTGGTATAGAAGGAACTTTGAATTATTATTATTTGAATTGAAATTTGTTAAAATAATAGGAATTCTTTTGAAGAGAAGATACTACAACCATGCCTAATATTAAAAATAACATACATTTTATTTTGACTATAGAACGTAATCTGATTGTATAGTAGTAGGCTTACGAACTATTCCTACTAGCAGGGCCTAGCATCAGTGGCGTAGTGGTCTTGAAATGGAAGGAGCTGATGGGAAGGGAAGTACAACAGTGGCTATAACTGCATTATGCAGTATTGTAAACAGTAGAAGAGCGATTTTGTGTTAGTCTATTTTTAAACATCTAAATATATTATTCGTCTTGCAGGTAGCAAATACGCAATCTTCATACCAACCAGTTCAACCAATGCCCCACTTTCAGTTTTTAACACAAGACCCAATGATGAGTTTGCAATTAGATGAGGTGATTGGAATGGATCAATTTAATCTATTAGACGGTCACCAGAATGAGCAATTATAGTGTGCGTCTTAACTACAGAGGTCCCAATGCTCCCGTGGGTCGCAGGAAACTCCAAAAAAGACAAACTCCCGCACTCACGTAAGCATGCAAAGGTCACATGGAAAACAACCCATTTTCCTCATATATATTTGTTTTTACTACATTGTTATCAATTGTCTCTCAGAAATCGGTTGGATTGGATTGGATTTATTCAGTGTAAACACTAAGGACTGTCTCTTATACACATCTAGATGTGTATAAGAGACAGGACCTACAATGATTAAAATCAGGTGGTTACTATCACTGAAGAGAAGATTTAAGGGTATGTTCACACACACGGCGTAAGGCTGGCATAGTGTACGCCTTTGTGTATGAACTAGGCAGTGGCGTTACGCCACTCACGCCACCTCCGTGGTGTTATTAACGCTACCTGCAGATCCAAGATTAGTTAACGCCACCGAGCTAACGCCAGTGATGCTTGAATGATTTGACCTTATTTCAAGAGATTAACCAATCACGATTGCAATAGATTAGTTACTTTGATCTCTTTCCTGTGCTCTCTATAAATGAAATGGTAAAGGGGTTCTTTTTCTATTGCATTTTACTTAGTTTACAATGTATATAATTTGTTGATTGTGTTTTGTAAGATAATTTAACCTATTCAAACTGTCTATTAAAACCTGCAACACCAACAATTGTTCTACAATGTCAGCTGAAAAATCAGAGTTAAAATTGTTCATTTAAAATACAATAATCATATAAGTTCACTTCAAACAATTCATAGATTTAAAAGTTTTAATTTTACTACAGTTAAGAACCCGTACATTATTTAAAACTAAAAACTATTCCCCCATAGGACTATATTACTACAAGTTTAACACCAGCGTTAATATAGCGAACGCCGTTTGTGTGAACACTTTGGATTTTAATCCGTGGATTTGCTTACGCCAGCGTAAGCTACGCCAGTCTTACGCTGTATGTGTGAACATACCCTTAGTGAATGTTCATCAAGAGTATGAAAATAATCAGCACTATAAAAACATTTTATAACAGTCGATCTTTAAGTAAATGAAGATGGCTGACATATTAAAACAGTGAGGAATACCTAATAATGTTTAAATACAGTGTTCTCTTGTTGCCACTTTATCAGTCTGAGATTGTGCCTACCTTTTGTTTCAGAAGAACCTCTACTGTGCTTGTAACCAATGTCTACAGAAGATAAAAACAAATACAAAGTAAAAACAAATATTTAATTATTTCCGAATTAAATAATTGTTGAAATGGCATGAATGTCGTATCCGAATTATTGTTAGAATCGATCCATGTGACAGAAGCATTTTTCCCAAGATAAAGAAACCAAGTTTTCTTTTCAATATATTTTAACTGTTGAAAAATATAAGCAAAGTAATTTTATTAAGAAATTGATTATAAACACTTTTTTATTGAGGCTGGATAATATAGCAACACAAATTTCTCTCATCAGAAATACCAATATATTGGATTGGATTTATTCAGTGTAAACACTAAGGATAGCCCACGAAAGTCTAGAAGAAGACTTATTTTCAGTGGGGTCCTTCTAGTGCACATGGGCCATAAATGCACATGGGACCAACGGCTTAAACGTCTCATCCGAAAGACGGTGCGCTATTGTAACTTGTATTTCAGCCCTCTAGCTAAAACACAAGGAGAGGCAGCGATGGGAATTGAACCAGGGACCTAGAAATTTCCATGGTTCAGCACACACAGTGGCTACCAACAGTTTAGCCGACTCAGCTAAGCTCCTCTCCCACCGTAGATTGTTAAAACTGACGTTTAAATTTGAAACACATTTAATTACATTGAATATAATGAAGCGGGAACCTTAAGTTGCCTATATCAGAGACAGTGGCAGCGCCAGCGGGGGACAGGGGCTTAAGTCCTCCACCGGACACGTCAAGCCCCCTGCCGGAGAGAGCTCGTCGGGCAGTTAGACCATTAAACATATGAAAATAGGCCCACACCAAGCCAACACATGTCTGTCACCGTCTGAGAGTGCCATTTGCGGCCACCCAGATGTTGCTATTCATTAAAAATATCTCATTTGATGATTTCAGATGGGGTCCACAGTACAGTAGCCACATATTTAAAATATTTAAAGAATACAAACTGTAAAAAATGTGCTGAAAAAAGCCATTAAGAGTAATCAAGCCCCACACTTAGCATTGCTTGAATATAGAAATACACTCATTGATCAGAATTTGGGTTTCCCCAAGTCAATTATTAATGAATAGGAGAACGAAAATTCTTCTTCCCATTAAGAGCAATTTGCTTGTGACTAAAATAATGACAAATGTAAAACAACAGTTACTCAAAAGACAAAAAGCTCAGAAATCATACTATGATAGAAAAACGAGCGAGTTACCAGAATTTGAAGTAGGTAACAATGTCAGACAAAGAGATGGTCCATGGGGAAAAGCTATTGTAATACAAAAAGTACCCGAACCTAGGTCATACATAGTTAAGACTCCTACTGGAGAACTAAGGAGAAATAGAAAACACCTGATAAAACTCAGTGATAACTTGGATGTGGAAAGGCCAACTTAATAAAACAAAGCAAAAGGTAAAGAATCTAATGGAAAAAGAAGATTCACTAATTAAACAAACAAAACATGGAATCATTAGAACTCCAAAAAGATATACTGATCAAAACAATAAAGGTTGAGTACTGTAAGGTCATGTAGTTTTTGTACCTTTAAGCTGAAGGAGGAGGATGTGAAGTATTGTTATGAAGTATTTGCATTTGGTCATGGCGCCATCTACAGTTGGTTTTGAATAAAACAGTTTGTTACACAAGATGGTTGTTGATTGACGTACTCATTTCAAAGGCCTAACCTAGACAGACAGCGCCTGATTTTCGCCGAGGTTCGCGATCTGAAATTTTTTTAAAGCAGGTTATGACCAGTGTATAAGCCGCATCCCTAATTTCGGGTGAAAAATCGCTTATAAAATTTGCGGCTTATATATCGGAATAATTTATATGTAGTTTTGACAGCCAGGCCTTGCTGAAGACTGAGCGGGTATTTCTAGGCAAATAATTGTATCGCATTTTATTGTGATGCATTTGTGGAAGTGTTTCGCAATTAGTTTAAAACGCGTCGCGTTTTACGATGAGACACTGTGTAAATCGAACGCTGTTCCACGTAGTTGAACTTGCCTAAGTTGAATCTAAAATGCCACTGAAAAATTGTTCGACTTAGATAAAATTTGACTTACAGATTGTTAATTAATGAAAAACACAACAGTTTGGCATGTAAAATAAGTTCGACTTAGAAATTATTTGAGTTAGGCAAGGTCGATTTAGACAAGTTTAACTGTTTTAACACCTTCTGCAAGTCCCTTTGCTTGAAAATAAATGTAAAACATATGGTCAACGTTTCTTTTCTGTTGAGGTCTTTCTTTTTTGGAATCCATTACCCATTTCTGTAAGACAGTCCACAAATTTACTTTCATTCCAAAAAAATCTCAAAACTTCCTTATCTTTAGTTTGGTTTATTCTTTACTTGGTCATCTCTAATAATTTTTGATTATCATACTTATTTAATGCAAATATATTCAAATTTGCATGGTTACATTTCAGCCTGCCAAAAAAAAAAAATGATTTAATTCATTGAATATGCTGATTTTAGTTTTTAAAAGTTTGTGTAGACATTTGACTTTTTTTTTTTCTCTAACTGCTGCATCAGTCTGTGAATGTAATGTTCTTTTTGCTGTGATGAAATAAAAAAAAAAATTAATTTAATGTAACAACACATGTTTAAACTAACCTTGAAATGATCCACTTGTAGATGCTCCCTGGGGAGCTCGGCCTTTCATAAGAAACAATTTTTTTTCTGTATCTGCTGCATAAGTCCATGAACCTAATGTTCTTTCTTCTGTGATGAAATAAAAAAAAAAAATTAATTTAATGTAACAACACATGTTTAAACTAACCTTGAACTGATCCACTTGTAGATGCTCCCTGGGAAGCTCGGCCTTTAATAAGAAACAATTGTTAAAATGGAAAAATTATTTAATTATAGAATAAAAAAACTGTTGAAATATATAAAACCCAACCGTTGCATAAAAGAAGAAAGTATTTTTTTCGCACCTCACCTTTAGGCAGCTACAATCAAGAGGAAACAGTTATTAAGAATCTGTAGATAGCGGTAGCTTTTACTACAAAAGGAATGGGAATTCCCAACTAATCAATGTGCAAGCGCAGTTACCAAAGAACGTCCATGAAATATGTATAAAAACGCAGTGAGCATGTGCTTGGAAATGCTAGACAGCCAGTGAGTATGTGCACTGAATAAGTGACGTTGAGCCATGTCGAGCATTCGCAGTTACCAAAAAGGGTCATTCCGTGTCAACTCAACTAATGGGATGGCTGGGTACCGTCTCAGATTTTCTTGAAACTCAGATATAATGTGCACCAACGTGTGTGAAGAACAAACCCAAAATTTGACTTGCCAATTCCAAGTCGTTTAGAAGTTACAGCCATTTGAAATTTTAGGGTCATACCCCTTTTTAGCAATCAATTATGACATATTTGTAAAGTTGCATTTTCAATTAGCCATATCTTCAAATAGAATAAAGATAATTAACTGAAAATTGATATCTAGACTAACTTTTGGCTGTAGAACAGGAATATGACATGACTTTTGGTATACCGGACCCCGTTAGGAAAATGTTGTTTCGTAAATACCCTAACTTATTTGGTTGCGTAATTCTTTTATACATCTGTTACATCCTTGCCTAGTTTTAATTAACTTCTTTATATAATTATATAATATAATATTTTGTAGTTAGCATTTTTATGACCTTAAGTTTTACTCAACATTTTCTAGGAAAGTACTGTTTCCTTATTTTAATTTGTTTTACTTTGTAAAGCTCATAAATATTATTATCCTACAGTATGCTATTATCCTATGGTCAGTATTTAATTAACACAAGGTAAATGAACTGAGCTTGGAATCTCTAAGACTTGAATGTGGTTTCGCATCCTGGACATTTACTTTCAGTTGGTCCAAACCACTTATTTATTACCTTAATTATGTATATATATGTTTATCAGACACTTTACTGTAGCTTTTAATTGGTGGATTAGTTTGCTAAACTTGTTGGAATTGGTGCCCTGATTGGATGAGACCCTTAATATGCAAAGTGTTACACCCATCTTAAATGATCTTACTACCCTAAGTAATTCAGTTGTAATTTGGGATCCAGTGCAGACAACTCAAGACATCTTTATTGCCTGGAACCCTGTTATTTTGTCCGGCTTCAGTTCCTCTCTGATCTGTAAGTAAAGTACTTAAGTTGCTGCTTAAGGTTCTAGCCACCACCATCCTATAAGCTCATTTATATGTTTAGTTTCTATCTTTGTTTAATTACCGTATTAAAATGGCATTGTAAATAAATTATATATATTTTGTAAATACACAAAAGTTGGATCTCTTCTCTGTTTAGTATTCTGAGCCGTAACGTAACAGAAAGTGGGGGCTCGTCCGGGAACAGAACATTTTTAATTGGCTCATGAATTAACCATTTGGTTTATGTTCTTTCCATTTTGAATATTTTTTTAAATTTTCAAATAAGCATCATGGCTTTTGTGTTGGCAGAGTTTACTGAATCGCCTTCTCTGGACATTCTTGAAAAATGTAGAAAATTAGACCTTCTTGAAATAATTAATTATTATAACTTAGTTGAGGATCCGAAGTTGCGCAAAGCACAGCTACGGAATATATTTATCGAGTCCCTTGTGGATAACGATATTTTTGAAGAGGAGGCTCTTCAACGTTTAGAGGAAATAGGTGGGCCACCATCCCTAGAGTTAGAATTACAAAAAATGAAGTTACAATTACAGGCTAGGGATCTAGAGCTAAGTGCTGAAAAGGAAAAGCTTAAAATGGAGTTAGATCTCCACCTTAAAATTAAGGAAATGGAACTTAAATCTAGGGACAAAGCAGAGCCCAAGTTTGATGTTAGTAAAAATATTCGTTTAGTTCCACCCTTTAAAGAATTTGAAGTCGACAAATATTTTCAGCATTTTGAAAAAATTGGTCAGTCCATAGGATGGCCAAAAGATAAATATACACTTCTCCTACAAAGTGTATTGACTGGAAAAGCTCGTGATATTTATTCCTCTTTAAATACAACCGAAATTAGTGACTACGATATTGTTAAAAAAGCAA